GCGAGAAAGGCGCGCGCCGCGAAGTCCGGCACTCCCGCGGCTGCTTTCTCGGCCCAGTCCTTGCGGCAGCATGCCCAAATGGGCTTTCCGGCCGCCCAGGCGCGCGTTCATGGCCACCTGCGCGGACGAAGCGGCGCGCGACAGCGTGGCACCGATGGCGCGCGCGGGGGCGCCCTCATGCAAATTTGCTTGTGGGCCATGGCGGACGCGTACGCCAGTTGGCCTGTCACGGCTGCACCAATTGCGTAACTCGCAGGAAGCCGAAGGGCGGCGTTGCGAAGCACACTGCGCCGAAACGCGCGCGGGGTACGCATCGATGGCCATGCGCCACTCGTTCCATGTCAGCGCGTTGGCGCCGGCGGCGGGGGGCGCGTCCAACGGCGACCAATCGCGCAAGTCCGCGCACACGAAAGGGTTGGCCACCCCTTTCTTCTTCAGCTTCGCGACCTCGCCCGCAAGGGCGTCGACGCGCGCGCTCCTGACACCGCCGCGCAGACGTCGCGTCCGATCCAGCAAGCGGGTTCCGCGGACTCGCCTGGGCCACAATGCCGGCGGGAGATCGTCGAGCTTGATCTCTTTCAGCCGTTGCCCCACGTCCACGTGGACGACTGGGGCTTCCTCTCTCTTGAGCAGGCGGGAAAGTTCGCCTATCGCGTCGCCCCCATTAGCGGGGCCCGCGCCGCCCGGCGCCCTGCCCTCGTGCGCCAGCGGGGCAAAGACTCGCCGCGCGGCGTCGCGGCGCCACCGGGGCGAAAGCGCGCCGCGGCCTCGATGGCGCCAGCGAGAGCGTGCCTCTTCCCTGCGCTGGGGCGCGGATCAAGCTCGTCAAGTGCGACGGATGCGAGCGCGCGGGGGGTCCACACCTGCCACGGCCGCGCGCGCGCGCCGCCGACCCGCGCGGCAGGGCGCGAGGGCGGGCTCGCCTCGGCGCGGCCAAGAATCGCCACGAGGTCATTGAGGAACGCTTCCTTGTCTGGGCAGCCCTGCAGAGCAGGCGCCTCAGCAGTCAGAAACAAGCGCAACTCCTCCGCCATTGTCAGCGCGCCCGAATCGCGTCGCCCCCTGTCGCGACCGCCCCTGCTGCTGCACTGGCGCGCTTCAAATGCGGCGGAGCAACGCAGCGCCCGCGCGGGCGCGCGCGCGCCGAGCACGTGCGGGCACGAACGAGCGCAGAGGCAATTGCAAAAGCAATAATGGCATTTTGCCCGCGGACCCGTCGGCCGCTACGATGGTGCAGATGGCGCAGTTGCCAGGGGGCCCAGTCGGCCGTTGCGGTGGCGCGGTTGCCCACGGGCCCAGACGGCCAGAAGGCGTCCTGACACCGCCGCCGAGTGAGCGCAGTGGGCCCAGCCAGCCCCAGGGGGGGCGGCACAATTGCCAGCGGGCCCCAATTAGCCAGCGGCCACAGTTAGGCCCTGAGAGTGGCACGATTGGCAGTGGGCCCAAGTTGGCCAGCGGGCACGACTTAGCCCTTTTGCGAGGTGGCCCCGTTGCCGGTGGGCCCAAGTGGCTAGCCCTTTGCGAAATGGCACAATTGCCAGTGGGCCCCAGTTGGCCAGCGGGCATTAATTAGCCCTTTGCGAATGGCGCAGTTGCCAGTGGGTCCCAGTTGGCCAGCGGGCACTAATGAGCCCTCTGCGAAGTGGAACAGTTGCCAGTGGGCCCTAGTTGGCCAGCGGGCACTAATTAGCCCTTTGCGAATGGCGCAGTTGCCAGTGGGCCCCCGTTGGCCAGCGGGCACAAATTACGCTTTGCGAGTGGCGCAGTTGCCAGTGGGCCCCAGCTGGCCAGCGGGCACTAATTAGCCCTTTGCGAGTGGCGCAATTGCCAATGGGCCCCAGTTGGCCGACGGGCACTAATTAGCCCTTTTGCGAACGGCACGGTTGCCAGTGGGCCCTAGTTGGCCAGCGGGCACTACTTAGCCCTGTGCGAAGTGGCGCAATTGCCAATGGGCCCCAGTTGGCCAGCGGGCACTAATTAGCCCTTTGCGAGGTGGCACAGTTGCCAAAGGGCCCCAGTTGGCCAGCGGGCGCTGATTAGCCATTTTGCGAACTGGCGCAGTTGCCATTGGGCCCCAGCTGGCCAGCGGGCATTAATTGGCCCTTTGCGAGGTGGCACAGTTGCCAGCGGGCCCCGCTGGTCGCTCTTTACGCGTACGCTCGGCACGAGCGTTGCACCATTACCCGACAGGCGAGCTGCGCCCGCACGCTCCGTGGACCCCCCGAACGCTCGGCACCCGCCCTGGCGGGAGCATCGGGCACCAAAAAGGCCCGACGTCCCCCGCGCAGGACGAAGCCGGCGAAGCCGCCATTACTCGGCGGAGAAATGTGAATTGATTTCGAGCTAGCAAAATCGACGAGGTGAGCTCGTTGAGGTCGTCCATGTAGAAATCATCTTCACCTGGGGGGATGGAGCGGGGAAGGAACCTGCGCGCGAAGGAGAGGGCAGCGAGCGAGGACGGCGGCGCGCGCGGAAGAAGGAGCGGAGGGGGAAATCGGAACCTGCACGGAAGGGAGGCGCGGCGCGGCGACCGCGGGCGAAAGCGCGCGCGCGCGGAGCAAGCAGTCGGAGGCGCGCGACGGACCGCCGGCGCGCGCGCGCGCGAAGCAAGCAGGCGGCGGAGAAAACGCCGCACCCCCAGCTGCCAGCGCCGATGGCTGGCAGCAAGGAAAGGAACCTGCGCGGCGCGCGCGCCGCGCGCGCGCAGAGCCGCCGCGACGCGGGATCCCAGCGGCGGCCAAGCGAACAAACAGCCAGCGCTGGCAGCGCCGCGCGGCGCGGCGCGCGGCCCCCCCTCGCAGGCCGCTCCTGCGCGGCGTCGCGCTCGTCGGCGGACATGGCCGCCGACACCCCGCGCTCCCGTTCGCTATCGCGCGCGCGTTTGTGCCTGCCAAGCAAACGAGTTTGTGGGCCTACAACAAAAACTCTTAAATAGTCAAACATGGTCAAAAACTCGTCCCCAGAGTATGTTTTGACTATTTTAAAACACTGCCCCTGTAGAGGGACATGCCCGACTCAAAATGAATACCAGAGGGACAAGGAACTCAACTTCAAAACGCGCCCAAAATTTGAATCAACAGCGACAACGTCGTGGATTCCGGACAAAACACCATACTTTCCACAAGACGGATTTTTGAACCAACAAAAACCAAAGTTTTGATTCAACAACAAGAAGATGTTGATACAAGTGCCCCCCCAAAAAAGCCGTTGCAAAACAAGCGCGCTTCCAAAAAACATATTTCTGAGCTACCAAGGGCCCCGAACGGGCCCTGGCCGCGGCGGCCCCCACGGCGCCGCCCACAGAACAACACATATTTTTGATGCTTTACCACGCAGCGCGCCTTGAAATAGAATCCTGCGAGGACACAGGTGGTCGCGGTACCCGCAGTGGTTCATCATCCTGACCACCCCCTGCCAAGACAGCTTGGGGCCCTGGTAGCCCTGACTGCATAAAGAGTGAGTTCGCGAAACTACGCGGGGATTTCTCGGATCGGAGCTGGACCCCCCCTCCCTGACGCGCGGAGCGCGCCAGGGTCAGCGCCCGAGGCGCCGCCAGGGGGTGGGCCAACGCCCATCCGATTCGCCGGCCCAACGGGCTAGAGGCGTGCTAAGATCTCCGGTCACTGGTGAACAACATAACATTATCTCTAGTTCGCGCCCGCGGGGCGGCTCTCCTGGGGGGCTCCCAGAAGAAGAGTACCCCGACCAACCACCGACCAACCCCTGACCAAGCCCCCGGGCAGGTCCTGGGAGCGCGCCAAAATTAGGGGCCCCGAGACGCCCCGGAGACGGTCCAAGAGGGCTCCGAGCCGCTGAAAGATCGTTCCAAGACGCCAAAGATAGCCCTCAGACAGCCCTCGAGGCCGCCAATAAGCCCCAAGAGAGTCTCAAGAGGCCCTCGAAGAGGGTCTCAAGAAGCAACAATTGCGTCATTCCCTTAGGAAAACTGCATTTTCGCATATCTATGTATATATATATATATATATATCATTAGTTGTGTTTCACAGCGTCCGAGACTGCCCAAGCGCCCCCAAGATCGCCCCAAGACGGCCCAGCAGGCCTCCAGAGAAGGCCAATAGAGCCTCAAGACAGCCCAAGAGAGCCCCAAGACGTCCCAAGAAGCGCCCAGGATCCCCCATGACGGCCCCAAGAGAGGGAACTCCAAATGACATTTCGAGCTGTCCGCTCCAAGGACGCCTCCGAGACCGCGAGCGGGTTCCCAAGAAGCCTCCAAGAAACTCCCAAGAAGCCCAAAACGAAACTCCAAGAACCCCCTAAACGGCCCCCAATACGCCTCAAGAGGCTTCAGAACTGCCTCCAAGAAGCTCCCCAGGCGCCTGCCGAGAGATCCAAGCAGCGCCGCATTGACAACGAGCTCTCACGCAAACGGCAGAGATGATGCTGTATGGTGCCGAACCCTGCCAAAGCACGCCCAAGAGGGTCCTCCGAGGGAGTAGCAACAAACACCTAGAAACCCGGTGCAAAAAGCAAACAATTCCTCCGACAACTCCCCGGAAAGTCCAGACGAATCGCCCCCAGACTGCTCCACGAGAGCTGCTTCAGCCCCAACACTCATCATTCCGAACGACACGACTCAGAAAATAAGCCTCCGCCCCGCAGGCCCACACTGCAAACGACCACTCGGCCGGCCGACAACGCTGCGACAATATGGGCTAGCGGAATGAGCGAAACGATCAAATATAAATCTGCGCGAACCGTCGCGGACCTCTGATAACTTCTGCTCATTTAAGCAGGGACCGACCGTTCCGGCAATCCTCTGGTCCTACCACGAACTTTACTCAGAATCCAAACATAATCGAATAACAAAAGCAGTGTTCTCAGAACATGAACCCGATGTGCTAAAACATAACACTCCCAGCCAGAAATGGTCTGAGAACAGTTCATGGAAACCACCGAAGGTTCGTAGCACACTGTTGGTGGGCCTCCAGGCGAGCCAGGACGTTTCGCCACTGCCTGACGATTGTGGCCGCCCAGAGAACCGGCGGCGAGCCTCAGCCTGGCGAGCCGCCACGCGGGCGCCGCCTGGCCGTCTGGCGGCCCAGCGGCCAGCCGCCCGTAGGGAAGGCGCACGGACATCGCGGCACCGCGCGCGCCGAGGCACCCGAGAGCTCGGAGGCGGGACGCGGGCCGGGCAATACAATGAAGCCTGGGCAGGAACAGAATCGGGCAGGGTCGAATCGGAGATCCTCCGGAGGCCATCGGTGCTGGGGCACGCAGCGGGCGCCGCGGCCTTCTCAGCGCGTCCCGGAACCCGCCGAGATCGGGGATGGACAGCCCTCCCTTTAGTAAAACGTGGTTTAGTGAAAACGACCTGAGGCCCAAACCTGGGGTGCGCAAGCCTGGAAAATAACGGCCACGGCGCCCTCTCGAGAACCGAAAACGGCAATTCACTAATCGACGTGTCACTGTGGGGGGTTCTGTCCACTCCCGATGAGAGCGTTCAAGGACGCTCTGGAGCGATTCACCCCTGTCCTGAGCACCGTCCGAAAAAAAAAATGCCCACGGGGGGTCACCGCCGACCCTGAGATCCGGGAGTTGCATGCTTCCCCACTGAGCGTTTTCGCGCCAGTCGAGGCCGAAGGAGCATCACAGGCCGACCCGGCCCGGAAAGTGCCGCAGGAAGATGGGGTCTGGAGGCCTGGTGGTGTACAGTACAACATTACAGCCATGCGCCAACCCTGGGCACGGCGCTTGGGCAGAACTGCCGCCACTTAGCTGGCCTTCCACCAGGACGTGTGCGGCCATCCGATCGTGAAGTGGACACAGAAAGACAGAGGCGCCCGACTGTGCAGCAGAGAAGCAGGGCGCATCACGACTGTGAAACAGAAATCGATCCCCCGAAGGACGAGGGAAGGAAACGGAAGTTGTCCGCTACCGATGGCGACTTCTCACAATGTCGCAACATGTTCGCGACGAGGAGGAGGAGGAGGAGGAGGAGGAGGAGGAGGAGGAGGAGGAGGGAGGAGGAGGAGGAGGAGGAGGAGAGGAGGAGGAGGGGGAGGAGGAGGGAGGAGGAGGAAGGAGGAGGAGGAGGAGGAGGAGGAGGAGAGGAGGAGGAGGAGGAGGAGGAGGAGGAGGAGGAGGATGGGGGTCGCCACCTCTTCCAGGGAGCGGCCCCCCCCCCAGACACCTGGTGCACTTTGGGGCCCCCCAGAGCCGCCGGAGGGCGCGCACGACCCCCTCGGACCTCGGCCCTCCCGCGCCGAGGTCCGCCGGTGTGAAAAATGCGGCATCGCAGGGACATCATGGCCCGAGCCCTCCTTCTCCTCCTCCTCCTCCTCCTCCTCCTCCTCCTCCTCCTCCTCCTGGACCAAATTGGTCTGCGGCACTTCTTCGAACCCGATCGACCTGGTGGTCCCGGGGCCCGAAGCAAGGGAAGATCGCCCGTTGCGGACCCCTCTGGGCGTGAGTGGTTGAAAGCGTCTCCTCTTCCAAACCCCTTTCTTCCCTTCGGGGAGGGGTTTACCCTCCCCCTCTCCCCTCCCCCTGGGTCTGGACGTGGCCTTTCGCGAGGTGTTGGAGAGTCGTTGTTGGGCCTTGACGAGAAGGCCAACATTTTTGATTCTAGAAAGAGATGTTGGCTACATTTGAGCCTCTTGGAAGGAGGCGCTAGTTAGTTCCTCCTTTTTCATCGATCTCCTCCAAGACGGCCCCCGAGGCTTCCAAGGGTGCCCCAAGACGGCCCCAAGAGGTGCCCAGGAGGCCCCGAGAGGCCCCCGAGAGGCGTCCAAAAGAGACCCCGCAAGGTGCCCCTCGGACCCCCCAGAGACTTCCAAAACGCCCCCAAAAGGCCTCCAAGAAACTCTCGGAAGAAATCCGAAGGGACTCACGGAGGCATCCAAGAGGCATCTGGCCGTTCTGCTCGCCCTCCTCCTCCGCCTCCTCCTCCTCCTCATCATCCGCTTCCTCCTCCCCCGTCCCCCTCTCCTTCTCACTCCTCCACCTCCTCCTCCTCCTCCTCCTGCTCCTCCTCCTCCTCCTCCTTCTCGTCCTCCTCCTCCTCTCCTCCTCCTGCTCCTCCGATTCCTCCTCCATCCTCCCCCTCTTGGGGTAGGACGTATGGCTACGGAACGCTTTCCTGAGGCAACCTGGGGGCCTCTTGTGCCGTCTTAGGCAGGTCATGACGGGCTTGCCGGGGGTCTCATGGCGTCGATTCTCGAGCACGCCTACCGTCATCTTCACCCACCTCAGTGCTGAAATGCCCACTCCCAGAGGCCGAAGTTTGGACGAAGTGTGCGGCCGCAGGGCCTGGGGCTCCAGACGCCCACGATGTTATACACATATACACACATATGTTTATTTATTTATTTATTTATTTATTTATATATATATGTACATGCATACACAAGGGTTCCCAACTTCGCGCTCCGCGCTGCGCGAATAACTCGGCGCTATCGCGCCGCCTCCCGTGGGAGAAGAGGAGGCTGAGGAATCGGAGCCGAGCCGCGAGGCGCGAAGAACTTCGCGCCCTCGAGGGCGCCCTTGCACACACATGTGCTTCGGCCTGCCTGGCGATGCGTCGCGATATGCTGGCCCCCCGTGGCACTGCCCGGCCCGTGGGCAGGCCAGCCAGGGAGTCCCGCCAAGGCTGGCTGCGAGGCGGGGCGGCTGGCGTGCTGGCTGCGGGCTGGCCGGCGGCCGCTGGCGGCGGCGGCTCAGCCGCTGGCAGGCTGACGATGGTACGAGGCGGCGGCCACGGCCACGACGACGGCGCCGTCGACGACGAGGCCGAGGACTACTACGACGACGACCCGCAGGTCGATCTTGAAAAGAACAGCACGCAAGTCCAGGAACGTTGTACTCGTCGTCGTCGTCCTCGTCCTCGTGCCCCTTTCAGCATTGGCGGCGCCGGCCGCAAGGCCTTCGCTATACGCTAACATGCGGAGGCCCGCTCGGATCTCTCCGGAGAGGCGGCCCAGAGGCGTCGTAGAACTGAAACACGAAGGGCATTGTTTGGCCGCTTGCGGCCCCTGGGGGCCCTCGCCGGGTCTGGGGACCGTCAGAAATTGACCCGGGATGAAAAACTGGCGCTGCAGGAGGGGTCGGAACTTCAGGGAACTGCGTACAGAAAAAATCAAAGCATCGCATGTCTGGGGATAGGTCGGGCTTGTCCCCCTGAAGGCGGGTTTTGGGCGACAAAATAAAAAAGCTCAGACAATATTCAGAACGTACCAGAAAATAGTGAAAACATCGTCCCCAGACTGTTTGTGGATTGTTCTTGCATGCTCCTCCTGTGGAGGGACAGGCCCGACCTGAGTCTGGGGAAAAATCAAGGCATCGCCTGTCTGGGGGGGCGGAGGGGGCAGGCTGTTCGGCGTGCTGCCGCGCCAGGGGCCGCAGGGAGGGCCGGCCCCTCTGCCTCCTCGCGGCAGGTGCCCTCGCTCGAGCAGGCCCCCGGCTGCGACGGCCGCTCGGGGGAGGGGGAGGCTCCCGCAGCCGCGCGCAGCAGCAGCACGGGGAGGCGGCAGACGAGGAGACGAGGCCGGCGATGAGGATCAGATAAAGATGAGACGGCGCCTCGAGAGAGGTCGGGCGGTGATCACACCAAGAGCGGTTGTTGAGGAGGCGAAGGAGGAGGGAAGGGGGTGCGGCGGCGGAGGAGGACACCGAGCGCTTGCTCGGCGAGTGCAGTGCTCTCGTCGAGATGCGTTGCCACCGCGTGTCGATCGCCGGGGCTTCCCCCATCCTGGTGCTGGTGCGCGCGGCCCTCGTCCCTGTGGCGGTCCGCAGAATCAGCTCGTCGAAGCCCGCCCCGAGGGGGGGCACGTAGTCCGCCCATTTGACACTCGGATGGTGAACGTGCCGAGCTTCCTGCCGCCCGGGTGGGGGGGGGGCGAGGAGGGAAGGGGTGAATCCAGGGGCCCCCCACTTCGCGCTGCGCGAAGCGCGAATGACTTCGCGCTCTCGCGCCGCCTCCCGAGATGGGGAGGAATCGGAGCCGAACCGCAAGGCTCGAAGCGCGGATTACCTCGCGCCCTCGAGGGCGCCTTTTTGAGAATCTGGGAGATTTCCGTTACGACGGTGTCGAACAACGCCTGCCCGGGGCCTTGGGCCGCTCCACGTCCAGCGTACGTCGCCTGGAGTCCTGGGCCCACCTCCGTGAGGTGCGTGTGCGTGTGCGTGTGCGTGTGCGTGTGCGTGTGCGTGTGTGTGTGTGTGTGTGTGTGTGTGTGTGTGTGTGTGTGTGTGTGTGTGTCTGTGTGTGTGTGTGTGCGTGTGTGTGTGTGTGTGTGTGTGTGCGTGTGCGCACTCGCGGGCATCGCGGCGGCGGAGGAGAAGTACAGAAGGAGCGGTAGGAACTGGGAGGGGAATGAGAGGAATGAGGAGGAGGCGGCGGCGACGGCGGAGGAGGAGGATGAAGGAAGAGCGTATATGGGGTAAGCGGTGGCTCTTCAGGCCGGCTCCTCTGTATCAGGCTCTTCAGGTCTGGTGCGTCGAAGGGCACCTTGCAGAGTTGAGCGCGCCAAGCGAGGCGGCATCGTCGTCTTCGTCGCTGTCGTCGTCGTCGGTGGGTGGAGAAGGGAGGAAGAAAAGACAAGGGAAGGGGAAGAGTGAGGGAACGGAGCGGGACGATTGCAATCCTCACAAGTGGTTCCTGACTCGCAGCGTGTTGAAAGAAACTGAGACATGGAAGGATCTTCGCACGGCCGCGTGGAACAATGGCCTGCGACCTCGCTGGGGGAAAACCTCTGGCCCAAAACAAGACCGTTCGAAAGGGAAGACCCGTGACGGCAGCGAGGGAGGGGGAGGAAGATGGGGGGAAGAGGGGGAGAGATGGAGATAAGGGCTTGGGCGGAGGCACAGGGCGTGATGAAGGAAGGGATAGCATCAGGAAACGGAGAGAGGGGGGGAAAAGGAGGAGGAACAGAGGCCACTGCCTGTGATCTGGAGCAAGAGAACTGAATGGTGCAAGTGGGTAAACTAGCAAATTTCGGTGTTCCAGCACAATGTTTAAAACAAGTCCAACCTGCCAGAAGGAGGGGGCAGGAGGGAGAACGAGCAAGATCGGCGGGGAGAAAGGGAGGGAAAGGAGGACCAGCATGGGAGGAGTGGATGGAGGGAGGGGAAGAATAGCTGGATCAAATCTTCTTAATATCCCGCTCCGTGGTGTATGGAACGAGGCTCAAAAGAACCGACCGAATCAACAACCTGAACTTGCTGGCATTGAATGTCCCGGCATCTGCTTGCCATAGCAGCGACCACCCACAAACACACTGCTCTTTCTGTACCCCCTCTTGTGTAGATGCTTGACCCCGCGGCTGCCAACGTTGCTGCGGAAGCACGCACTTTTGCTCCTCCCGCTCTGGCTCTCGCTCGCTCCTCCCTGTCCTGCTCCTCCTGCTGCTCATCCTCGCCTTGCCTTCTCCCTCCCGCTGCTCTGCATCCTCATGTGCCTGCGTCACAGGCGTCTGAGAGCTTCAGGCAAGGCAGAGCCTTCTTGGCACACATCTCGAACAAAATGCAGCCCATTGACCTGCAAAGTCGCTCGCGTCGGGGAGGAGGATGCGGAGGAGGAGGGGCTACGTGGCGCGCTGGCGGGGGTACGCGCGACTGCCGCCTCCAAATTTCCTTCTCCTGCCTTTACCATCCACCTCTCCCTCGTCACCCCTTCTTAATATCCTAGCTCCTCTCCTTCATCTCCCACCCCCCCTTCTGCATGGCCCTCCTCCTCCTCCCCTTCTTCCTATATCCCTCCCTCGACACATGTTTTGATTGGTTGGTCTCTCTCTGCCTCTGTCTCTCACCTGCACTTGCCACCCTCCCCGCGACACGAAGGAAGAGGGGGCGAACCTGATTCACGACAATGGGTGCGAAACCGGTTCACATCAGCGACGGACACGGATTCAAAATAAGGAGAGGAGGGGGAACGGAGGGGTAAGGCGAGGAAGAGAAAATGAGGGTATACTGCGTTTGTTGTGCAGTACTGGTTTCGGGTAGTGCGGGCCTTGGTTCTTCAAACAAGGTTGTGACGCCGCAGACCTATTTCGATGTTGGGTGGGAGGGAACGCGATCTCGGCAACCGAGGTCAAGTCAGCCCCACGAGTGGAACGTCAAACTCCAAGGCCACCATTGAACTGTACATACTATTGTGGGTCGCCACGTTCCTTATGTTTTGCGTTGGTGAAGTTTGCGCGCTCTCAATCAGAATCTAGAATATCGTGTGCATGCGAGCCCCAATGTGTGTACGATACGAAGACACCGCGGTATCGTGAAAATGAAGGGATACATTGAAAAGCCGTAATACCAATACCCCCTCTTTGTGCGACATGAAAGCTGTCTACAAGTACGGCGTGGACCGCCTACACCATGCAACATCGAGGGCGCTGAAACATACCGCATCGACTCGCTGCGGCATGCACCAACATATTGGCAAACGAAGACCTCGATAAAGAAGGTGCCCAACGTATCCACATGGAGATGTCTCGTATTAGCGACCCCATATCTGATCTGACCCCGATGCATGATCGGACCCCATCATGGCAACGGCACAGCGACATGGAGGAGAAGGGGTGAGAGAAACGGAAGCTGGAGGGCGAATCGGAAGGATACACAAATAATGGTAGCATAACCATAACACCATAGTAGGAACACGATCTTGTCAATGATATACCAGGGGTATGCACCGAAAGAGAGAGAGAGAGAGAGAGAGAAAAAAAAAAAAAAGAGAAACAACGAAAACGAGAGAAAGGGGGAGAGGACGACCAAGCAAGAGTAAATATAGAGTACGCGGTATAGCTGATGTAGTGGTGGGATACAGACGAAAGGTGGGATGGACGAGTGAAGGGAACGAAGATATATACATAGAGAAAGAGAGAGAAAGAGAAAGGGCGACATGGGAAACACAACAAATAATGATGATCATGATGATGATGATGATGATGATGATGATGATGATGATGATGATGATGATGGTGATGATGATGGTGATGATGATGATGAGCCGCAGGATGGTGTGATAAAGGGGGAGGACCTTAATAAGGATGACCCTTAAGAGCAGGGGGGAGACGACGATCAGGGTGAAGAGGAGGCGGGGGCCCATACGCAATGTCGGTCGATTGGTCAATCGCAAGCTTGGGCCAAACGCGGCCACGCGGTCGACAAGCACAGCGAATCTGCCAGAGGTCATCAGCCTATGCGCCCCGATCGCGATCCATTGGGCCGCGGGGAGGTGAGAACGAAGAAGACGAACTCCTCCCCCTTCTCCGATCCGCCTGGCAGCAAAGAGGGAAGGGACTGAAGCATGTGGAGAGGTGATTCAGCCCACTGGCTCCATACTATAATTACACATCGCGGGCTCAAGCGGCCCTTGGCTTGCGCAGAGCCGCCGCGCCCTCGCGGCTGCCTGCGCTGCTCCGGAGCTGCTGGGCCGTTGCCTTGTGCAAGGCTGCGCACGACTCTGCACCCCAGCATTGGCAGAGAGCGCCTCAGACCGCCCCGGCCCTGTCCTCGTCGACAGGCTACGTCTGGTCGCGCGCCAG